TTTTTTTTTTTTTTTTTTTTACACTTAGTAATAATTATTTTAATAATTTTGTTCGAATAGAAAGATTAAATATTAAGACATGAATAAGGATAAAGTAGTCAAAATCTAATCCTAATTAAATTTTTTTAAGGGATGTATAAAAGAGAATCATGACAGATAATATGAGACGGAGGGAATATTCATTTCGGTCTAAAATAAATGACCTTTTAATCTTTGACACACCCCTTAAAAAAATATTAAATCCTAAAAAAAATATTTTAACGGTAATAATATGTAAATAACGATAAATTTTAAAAATTAAAATTAATTCATTCTTGATTATATAAAAAGGACACTTATTTTGATTTACTTATTTTGAACCAAAATAAAAAGACCAAAACATCTATAAAAGAGTACTACGTAATAATAGATGGCTTCTTATCTTTTAAAACGATAAATATTTAAATATATTTATTTATTCAAAACGATTAGGATTTGGGACCAGAAAGAGTATTGCTTATGTACTGATAAACATAAAGGTTCCCTCTCCCCCACCCAAAGAAGTTATAAAAAAACAGATTTAAGTGATGGAGCGAGAAATATAATTGTATTTCCTACGGTCAATCTTATTTTGGTTATTTTCACGTATATTAAGAAATTCACAAATTAGCATTAATTAACAATATAATTGATCATGTTAAATTTAATGTGTCTATTAGAAATATAACAAATACTACTCATAGACTCTTTAATTCAAGGACAACTTAAAAAAAAAAAAGAAATTAATTCTTTATTAATATCATAAAAAATCAAATATTATGAATCATAAAAAAATCAATTAAAGTGAATCGAAGGGAGAATAAATAGTACCAGAATATCGAGCTTTCCAAATTTAGTTTTGATGAAGTCCACGAGAGAAGAAATACTAGCTGGATCCATAACATCAAGTTGATGAAACAAAATCTGATCATCGTACTCCTCTTTGAGCTTCTCAAGAGCTTCAATTCCTCTCTTTTCATCCCTTGCTGTCAACACTACCACTACTCCTTCCTTTGCAGCTAGTAGTTTCCTGCATGTTTCATATCCTATTCCTTTGTTTCCCCCTGTCACCACTGCATGCCTGATCATACAACTTATAAAATTACTACTCCATGTTTTTCTTAAAGAAGATTTACCTATAATTACCTAATAACAGTAGTGAACAAATTTTTACGATCAGTGCAGAAAACTTGTATTTATACATACAAGGTTTGTAAATACCTTGTATTCTCGTGGCTGGTGGTTTTTTCTGCCATTTTTGCTATATTCACTATTCAGTTTTTTGGGTCTAAGCAGGCTTATCTATCAGTGTATGTATTGCGTTTGCTAGAAATAGTCTAAGGTGCTCATTGAAATCTGGGAAGACGGAATTATCTAATACGGTAACGGAGAAAATCAAGGAGGCTATAATTTATTTTTATTTTTTATATAATATGTTAGTCTTATCCCCTGTGTTTAGTGCCGGTTCAACCATTATGTGGACAAGAACTGAAGAAAGCATGTTTTTTTTGCTTAGCTATAATTCAAC